AAGTATGCAATTTACAGTGGCTCATTAACTACCATGCGGACTGGTTCAACCAAGTCCACGGACCCTCACTCCTAAGAAAATAAGCCTATATAAAATTTAAAAAAACATATAAACGATTGAAATAGCGTTTACTACATACTGAAAGTCTATAATCTACCATTAACAGGCATATAATTGACTTGGAGAGAAAAAAAGCATTTTCCGGGGGAGGGGACCCAACCAACTCAAGTCCACGGGCACCGGGCACTCCAAGGGCATTCCAATACCAACTTTTGTGATTTCAAAAAGTAGACCTATTTTGCGATTCCCTTTATTTCAGACTAAAGTGTGTAGCTAAAGATATGGACAGTGGTATAGCACTGGTATCATGGAAGGCTGTACGTGACGATACCAATACAGAATATGCTAATGGCACTCTGCCCTGGCCACAGACAAGCTTTCAGGTAATTGGCATTTTTACCCATATCCCAGGTATTCGAGCAGCGATCGACAAACTTTCGGACAAAACACTGTTATTTCGAAAGGGGGGGGGGGGGGGGATTTTACATGCATTGTTAGATATCAGAGTCTGATTTAATATACATGTAGATTGAATCAAGCTGTTGTTTTGGTTTTTAATGTAGGCTAATGCTGATGTTAGAGAGCTGGTTTGTCTGGCCAAGATAGATCGTTGTTTTTATATAGAGGCTGATTTAGAGATAGATAACTGTGATTTGAGCCTCCCGTCCCCCCAGGATTCGACTGGGGTGGCCCTGACCGTAGAAGTGATGAACCAAGCTATGCTCAATGGACCAAGACAGTCGTTTAGGGTAAGTGATTTCCCGCACTATCACGGGCAGTCGAGGATTTTTATGCCTTATCCTTGATCTATTTTAATGTTTGGAAGCAAAATATTGTTTCTATCATGTGGGTTGCACAAATGAAGTCTTCGATGGTAAATAACGCTCAGTTCTACCAAGTGTGGTTCGAGATAATAACACCTAAACCTTGATCTAACTAGTATATTATAATGTAATTCTTTAAGCCAATCCGTCGAAATTTGTGTGTTAAAAAGACGAGTCGTCTTTTCTTGAGACACCGTCTTATATAGGAAAGATATAAAAATCTATAAAAATAGGAAAAGAAATTTCTTGTTTGAGATATTATGCAATTTTTAGTACTTCTGAAGACTATTTACGTATATTCAAGACTCAAATCAACCACCAAAAATGGCGCACCTGTCGTAGTCTATATACTTACTCTTCCGATAGACCCGAGTTGGTCAAATCAGTATCTAAACGAGTCTACAATCTAAAGATTTCTGTGTTTCCTTATTTCTAGATTGATGATGTTAAAAAGCTGTCCGGATACGAACAATGTAAGCAAAGATTGAAAATTTTTAAAAACTGGCCTCCCAAATATTTAAAAGGTTGCAACTTAAAATTTCGCTGAAAATCAGTTATCATATGGGCGATATTGATGCATATATTGATTTAGGAATGTTCCTTCTAAGTCAGGGATCGTTTCATTTTGAAGAAAAAACCTCACGGAAAAATTTCATTGTAGTGAAGAAATACTGCGCATTATACTCGCAAATTTACGGTTTTCGCAGTAAGTTTTTGTTTTGGTTTTGTGTAATGTTAATGTATGTAGCTTATATCGTTTTCGAATTCTTTGATTGTAAATAATATTGATTTATTGTTCGTTTACTTTTTAAGGTTATCAGGCCTCTGGTGAGTAGCTTATTTTAGTTGTCAGGTTAACGGATTTTAACTTTTATGGGCATGACAGCTTTAATCCAAGCAAATTACTTTTTTAAAGAATATTCGGCAATATCTTTTTATTATCTTTTATTTTTAATGTAGCCAATTCAGTCCGGGTCTAACGATGACTTCTTGAGCATTCATCCTAGGACCTATGTTTTAACTAATCAAATTTTTCATCTCTCCAGCGCTGGGATTTTGTGAGAGAGTTAAGAAATTTGATTGGTTAAAGCAAGGTTCATCAAGTTAAGATTAGATTCAGATGCAGTGCGCAATAAGGTAAATACTTGGCGAAAGCAATAGCCTACAAAGCACTATTTGTGTTTGTAGTTTCAGAGGGTTTATCTGCAGGGTCTGTAGCTGGTAAGTAAGTTTTTGTTTTGGTTTTGTGTAATGTTAATGTATGTAGCTTATATCGTTTTCGAATTCTTTGATTGTAAATAATATTGATTTATTGTTCGTTTACTTTTTAAGGTTATCAGGCCTCTGGTGAGTAGCTTATTTTAGTTGTCAGGTTAACGGATTTTAACTTTTATGGGCATGACAGCTTTAATCCAAGCAAATTACTTTTTTTAAGAATATTCGGCAATATCTTTTTATTATCTTTTATTTTTAATGTAGCCAATTCAGTCCGGGTCTAACGATGACTTCTTGAGCATTCATCCTAGGACCTATGTTTTAACTAATCAAATTTTTCATCTCTCCAGCGCTGGGATTTTGTGAGAGAGTTGAGAAATGTGATTGGTTAAAGCAAGGTTCATCAAGTTAAGATTAGATTCAGATGCAGTGCGCAATAAGGTAAATACTTGGCGAAAGCAATAGCCTACAAAGCACTATTTATGTTTGTAGTTTCAGAGGGTTTATCTGCAGGATCTATAGCTGGCATCATCATAGGTAAGCGTTTAAAATATAGAGGATCTTAAACCTTTGCTTATGTCATGCGAATTTTCTGAAATTGCCAGATTGGCTCGGGAAATATTTCATGAAATTCTTATGACATAAGCACACGTTCATTTGATACCTAAATTGTAACATGTAGTCAAAATAATGTTATTTGGAGTAATTTCATGCCCTTTACCTCCCATTCTAAGTTGTCAATGATGTTTGTTGACACGGCGCATGGATACATTGCCAAATTTGCATAGTCATTAACCTGTGCTACGAGTTCATGTTCTTATGAAACCTTGTTATGAATCTGAGAACAGTACTGTTGTGTGATAGATAGATATATTCACTATTTTATGGAAGGGGATAAGTGCCAACAATTGGTCAGCCCTTGTTTATATAGATAACCCTTCTGATTGAATGAAATGAAGGTTTACGTCCATCTTTTCTGTTTTTGATTGATTGACATAGTATTACGCCGCCTTATGGTACGCATTTAAGGACATTTTAACAAAATCCTTCCTTTTCTTTGGATAGAAACGATTTTTCACTCCAAGTTCCTTCATGTAAACAAACGATGTGGTCTACATTTGAGCTCTGGGTATATTCGTAAGAGAATGCAATTCTCCTTAATTTATTTCTGTATTACAGGTGTTTTGCTGTTGATAGTGCTCGTGGTTTTGGTGTTTTTATTTGTCACAAACCGTCCACCGTTTACTAAAAGACGCAAGGAAAGAGGTTCTGTTTACATTCAGAATGCTTTGGGTAAATCGAAACAGACTAACATGCACCAGCCATCCACCAGGGCCTATCCTGTAAGCTTTTCTTTTTTTTACTAGAAACATTATTATAATCGTTCAAAAGGATAGGTTCGCCATCCGTTTAACCTATCATACCTTTGTCTCTGAAACGGGAATTTTTTTTTAGCTATGCTTGTCGAAATTTGAGCGTTCAAATCCATGTTTGTCCGGAATTATCTGCGTTTGAACGCTAGAATAACGACTCGTCTCATCTTGAGAGTCTGCCATATGTAGAGTGCAGAAAAGTAGGACGTAAAACTCCATTCATTTCATTTCATTTCTGCCATATGTAGAAATAGAAAGTGAAATTCCTAGTTTGAGGTATTTTGAGGAATTGTGAGATTTTCGTATATTTCTTGTACTTCTGAAGACTATTTATATTATGTATATTCTAGACCGAATTAATCCCGTGAAATGTCGAATCTGTTCCTTTATTAAATACTTTACATTTGATAATCTAAATGATTCAACTGAGGCTATCCCTGTCACTTTTCGAAATTTGAATTTGACGTATGTTTCTACTACAATTAAATAACATTCAGATTATATTTCTTATTGACATGTACTATGCTTTGGGTCAATTTAAGAACAATGCGTATAAGTGCGAGGAAGATGACGTGTACCTGTATGGCGGTAAGGAATTTGAAAGGGGTCAGTCGTGGCAGATTCCCCACCATCAGCTTACTCTACTGGGCAATATTACCACTGGAAAATTTGCCACGATTTCTAAAGCTAAACTCAAAACGAGCAATGATGAAGTGGTAGCTAAAATGTTGAAAGGTAAACTTCCATTTTCTAATTGACAAAAACTCATTTCACTCTATTGAAACATGTTTCTGAAACAAAATCACCGTCAGGACATCTTGTTTTGGAAATGGCAGAATTTACTTTACTTGCTGATACAAAGATCGATTTCAACTATCCTAATCACTTTTCAGAATGAAAATTTTTCGTAAGGTCCGTCTATAATTAACTAAAGTAAGCCATGGATTTGTGCCGTCGATTCCCCCGTTTGAAGCCGAAAAACTTATTCTGACACACAACATTATTCCCTGAATATTTAATATTTTTAGATAATTTCACCTCGGATGACGAAATGTTGATGCGAGCCAAAATCAACTACATGGCAACAGTAGTGGGAAATCACCCCAATGTCTTGGAATTTGTTGGTGCTGTTATCGATAACAGTGCTCGTAAGTTTTGTATCATTTTTCGCGATGGGATAACTGACTCATTCTTAGTCGGTCGAAGAAGTAACATATTCAGTGGGAGGGCCATTGATCAACTGCTGATAAAAAAGACTCATTATGAGCCAATAGGTCTTATTGTGACGTGAAAATCCTAATGCTCAAAATCCATCTCCGACCATGTGAAATCCATAGCCACCAGCGACCTCGCTTCGGGAAGACACTTATCATTTTGCACCCAAAGCCCCGTTCTCGGGCATTTTCTAAAAACGCTTCTGTGTCGAAGCAATAATTTTGTCGACTTTTAGATTGCCAAGTGATTTACGATTTGAATAAGTACATGCCGAATTGAGATTCATTGTTTTCTGATTTCAGTGGGACCAGTTATGATCCTAGAATATTGCGAAACAGGACAACTAGACAAGTGGCTGATATCCCTGAGAGGCGACATGAGCTCTGATACCAGCGAGCTCTTACAGAGAATTTGTTTCGATATCTGTAAAGGAATGGCTTACCTAGCCTCTCAAAAGGTTTGGATTCTTTCGTTTTTTATGTGGTGACGCAGCAGGCCTGTAGCCAGACTTGATTGTTCGGAGGGGCAAGTAATATCCGGAGAGCCAATGGGGTAGTAGGTTGCAGTAATGGAATTATTCGGAATTACTTCTTCTTTTAGATTGTCCACAAGAAGCTGGCAGCTAGAAATGTGTTACTAACTTTTACTATTGTACCCAAAATAACTGGTTTTGGGCCAACCAAATCATCCGAAGACGAAGATGCTAAGGTAAGGAAAATCAACTTACCTTTTTCACCAGCTGGTCCTTGGCCAAACATCTTAGTAATAACAAAGAATACATCTTAGATTACAATCCATCAGCTGATCCCTAACTTTTGATCTGGCTTTGTCGACAGGTTAAAGATAAGATTCTATATGTAAAGACACTCTTTTGAAAGGCAAATATTCTTGATGTTTTTCAGGAAAGAATTCCCTTAAAATGGACTGCTCCAGAATGCATGACGTCACTAAAAGATGCCGATCAAAGGAGTGACGTTTGGTCGTTTGGAATTGTTTTATGGGAAGTTTTCAGTTTGGGTAAGATCAATTCATTTAATTTATTATACCGATTCATTTTGTGTGTAAGTCAATCCATTTATTCATTCAATTATTCTTTCACCATTGCCCCTCCAAACAATAGGCTACGGGCCTGGAAATGAAATGAATGGAGTCCTACTATTCTGCACCATGTGGGCTGATGAAGACGGGCAACGACATGCAGGGTGCAATGATGGAAATTTTTTTTTGCCAGGACAGCTGCATTAGCCTGCTCTTTTTCGATTTTCAACTGTCAGGGTATCTTTAACGTGCACAGCCTGTAGCACACGGGGCCTAGGTTTATTATCCCATCCGAACGACTAGACACTTTTTCCATGTCAGCCCCTCTTACCTGCATCACTCACACAGGGAAACCGGGTTGAAAAATCCGAAGGTATTATCTCGACCTATGCCGGGATTGAACCCTGGACCTTCAGGTTAGCGAGCAAGCGTCTAACTCACTGGGCCACCGCGGCTCCCTACGGGCCTGGAGCAATAGTTGGTCGATAGAGTAAAATGTGAAGGTAAAACTTCACCAACTTCACAATTCTAGCCGAATATAAGGAGTGGTAGGGAAATCGTTGCTAAAACATCCAATAAATTGGTCTATATTCTTGCAGGAGAATTGCCTTATAGCGACATGAAGAGTCGAGATGTTGAAAACAGAATCAAGGGAGGCTACCGTATGAGCAAACCAGAAATGTGTAACAGTTTGTAAGTTTTTAACTTGAATTGGATGTTTTAAGAAATTCAAAAGCATAGAATGTTTTCAAATAAATGACTATTCAAGTAAAATTTTTCAGAACGTCATAATTGCCCTTCGGAAATATTTTTAGAATTTTTTTGATGACATTTTGATGCATTTAAAGTATAGGTTCGTTTGACCAATCGTACCTTAGTCTCAGAAAATGGATTTTTTTTTTAGCTAAGCTAATCAGTAATAGTGTTCACAGCTCATTGTCGAAATTTTAGCCTTTAAATCCATATGACTAGAATTATTATCCGCGTTTGGAAGAAAAAATGACTCGTCTTTTAGTGAAACTCTGCCATAGGCCTAATAATATATAGAAAAGACATATAATAGAAATATTTTTGAAGATATTATACGATTTTCATGCATGTCAGATACTAGAAGACTATGTACATATACAAATATTCAAGTCCCAAATCCGCCTCAGAAAATGACGCATCTGTCCCTTTAAATAACTCTGTATATTTCTTTTTCAGCTATTACAAAATTATGACAAACTGTTGGCATGAAAACCCCAAGAAACGAGAATCGTTCAAAAAAATTGAACAGAAAATAGCAGGAACTTTTGTGAATAAAAGCGACGATGTATATTATTATAATTAGACCTTGGTACGACAACCCGGGCCAGTCAGTTCGCCATTAAACCCTTTTTTAGATAATTTTTGTATTCTATTATGTGTATATGTATATGTGTAATAAGTACTTCCGTTACCAGCCGAAAGAATCTCATTTCAGCTATCTTTAACTCTTATCAAAATGAATATTAGGTTTTATGTTCATCTACAATAACATGAAAATGATTTGCTTTTATTAACAATGGCGGCTGGTAAAGCGAAGAGACGGTCATGCCCTATAAGTTTTGTTCTTCATTAGTATTAATTGGGATAATTCTATAATCGGATTTGCATTTTTTTTTTTGCGATT